TTTTGGACCGTCGCTCGGACAAAACGAAACATTTAAAGAAGTTCCTTTGAGCTCCGGGAACTTTTTTGAGTCCGCTTCGCTTTCACCAAAAAGTTTTGTTTGTTTGTGACTTTTTTTGTTTTTTTATCCAGCCTGGAGATCGACGTGGCGGAGCTCCAGAAGGAACAGAAGGTCGATGAGGTAATCTGCGTCTCCTCCTCCTCCTCCTCCTTGAATAAAATAGTAAAACTATAAATTGTAATTCATGGTTCTCATTTTGGCTTCTAAGGAAGTTAATAATCTGCAGTTGTCATCCAGGATGCTGTCATGTGTGAACTATCTTTTATTTTAAAGTGTCAGCGCATCATAATCTTCACAAAAGAAATCACTTTTGTTGTGTATTTCTACAAATTCTCTAGTCTCACAAGGCAAAAGACACTAAATAAAATACATAAATAACAATAAATACTGGATGTTATCACCATCAGTGATGAAGAGCAGCAGAAACAGTGAAATAGAAGAGCACCTTGCAGTACTTCAGTATGGATATTAACCGGGAGCGTTTCTCTGTCGCAGTGGTTCGTGGTCGAGGATGTGGCTACAGGGAAGCTGCACCTCAAGCTGGAGTGGTTGTCTCTGCTGCACACACCTGAGAAGCTGGACCAGGTACAGAACCGCTGCTCGATTAATACAAGTAAAAACAGCAGCTTGAACTCAGCAACAGACTCAGCAGCGTCCGTCCTTCTGTCCTCTCAGGCTCTGGCGAGCATCAAAGCCGACCGCGGTCAAGCCAACGACGGCCTGTCGTCCGCGCTGCTCGTCGTCTTCCTGGATTCAGCCAGAAACCTGCCGGTAAGTCGCTCTGCTCCAACTTCCCAGAGTGCACTTCTGCTGTAATGACTCCCGGTTTACTCTGAGAGTCAACAGATAGAACAAATACAGATATTTATTCAGCACAGCTGAACAAAAATGCTGATTTGTAGATGCTTAAATACACTTAAACAGAGTTATGAGAGAGGAAAAGGTCAACTTTTGATGCATTTTCTCATATTTTATTTATTTATAATCTATGAAAATATAAAATACAAATATTATTGCTTACATTACATGAAAGAAATGGGGAAAACAAAGAAATTCTTATTTTTCTATTTTTCTTGCCTGAAGTGGAGCTGTAGTTTGTTGCCTTTGTTGTTGTTGTTGTTGTTGTGTGGTCAGTACTTTATTGTGAAGAGCTTTGTCTTGATATCCCACCCGTCTGGTGCTCCAGGTTGTTTAAAACAAACATTCTTTGGAGTGTTCACCTCAGTCCTTCATCTTCTCCTCTGAACTTCTTTTCTGTTCTTCAACCTTCTGATCTTAAAGGTGCAGTAGAGAGAAGACTTACAATAATAAGAAAATATATATAATATAGAAATATGTTTTTGTGTGCGCGTTCATCTGGCTTCAAGTTTTGCACTTGAGCTTTTTTAAATAACCATAAATACGCCAAAATTGTTATTATACGATGCTTAATCTTCTGTTAATTAGTGTGTGTGTGTGTGTGTGTGTGTGTGTGTGTGTGTGTGTGTGTATATATATTTATTTATTTATTTATTTGCGGTCCAAAATCCAATTCGATTCTGAACGTCGTCTTTTATTTAATTGCAACAGATTTTAACAGATGAGACTTTTTTCCCCGACATCGTTTCCAGCGTCCAGCGTCGAGTAGCGACAGTCGTCGTTGAACTCGTGGCCACACGTTTAGCTTTGCTCTCTTATTCTCTCATCAAACCTTTCTAACTTTACAAGATATTTCTGCAGGAAAAGTTACTTATTTAACTTTATTTTCTCTTTGACAAACTTAAACCAATGTGATCTGTAGGAATCAAGACTCTGTAGTCCAACAGTTGCAAAGCCGTCAGGGCTGAAAAAATAACATTAAAAAATGGAATGGTGTAAATGGAGAGTAGTGACTCCTCTGCACACGTCGATGGCTCAGGAATAACAAGGAGACACACTTTATGAGGCTCAAATTGTTTAAATATAACGGAACATTTTGCAGTGTTTCTGAAAAAGAAAATGTTCGTTTTGGGGGGAAAGTATTTGAACTCGTTGAAAGTGATTCTGGTAACTGAACGTTCACCTTTAAGTCTACTTCTCCCATTAAGAACTCTTATCTGTTAGTGTGTGAACTCTGCAACAGTGCAGGCCTCACCTTCCTCCTCTCAGCCTCCTCCTCTTCTTCTTCTTCCTCACCTCCTCCTCCCCTCTGAAGAGCGTCTTCGAGGGGAACTTGGGCTCTGGCTACTTAAAGGAGAGGCGGGCGGCGGGCCTCGTGTTTTGCGAGAACACCGCCTCTCTCTATCGGACCTTGTTTGTGAGTCCGCTGGCTGTTTCCTGCATCCTGGAGTCCATTTGGCTCGAGGTCCTTTTGGTTACGCTTGTTTGTTTTTTTTAAATAGCAGAGGTTTGACCAGTTTGCCTGATGAGCATGAATCCCAACTAGCGCATGAGAACTCATTAATATCATGTTTTGTTATTTGTTGGAGTTTGACTGATTCCAAAGCGGAGGAACACGACAGGAAACAACACTGAAGGTTCATGTTTGAGGACTGTCAAAATCATCTTCCTCCTCTTCCTCTGTTCTTCATTGTCTCCACTGATCTAGTTTCATCACACGGCTGGTTCTCTGCAGCGTTGAGACGCCGGCTGTGCGTCTAATAAATATCCGCCGCTCTGTTTCTCTAAAGAAAGACGTTGTGTTGATGTTTTTCTGCCTCAACACAGATTACAACTCAGCAGAGCAAAAGAGTTTAAAGAGTAAAACATTCACTTCTGCTTCATGGTTTTTATTGTTAAAGTGCAGATCTGTAGATGAAACATAAAACAGCAGAGTTCATTCAGTTTGTCTTCGTCCGGAGATGTTTACTGAACTTCATCCTTATTGTTTTATACATTCTTCAGTTAATGAAAACTCTTAATATTTTAGTTTCATCTTATTCAAAGAGAAGATTTTCGTCAGATGAGAAACCACTTTACATGTATCAGTTCGTAATACTTTAGTCTTCTTAAGTAAGAGGAAACTTCACCATTTTATATCATCGCAAGCAAACCAATTTACTACAGAAAACAGAAAATATGAAGATCTTCTTTCAGTTTTTGTTTTTAAATTCCATTTTTGTAAACGCATCGTTTGTCCACAATATTATAAATACATTTAGAGGAACTCAAAAACCAATATCTTCCCCCTTACCTATAACTGCTATTTATGTATTTAGCAGCTGACAGCAACAATAAATCTAAACTGATTAAATAGCCCGACAGGAAAGGAAAACGTGTGTTTTAGATTTTTGGGTGAACTGTCCCTTTAAACCGTCCCGTCTACCGTCTGGCTGCACAGAAACAATAGATGTTGCGTTGCAGCTCGCCACGCTTTACTGCTGCTCGGTGTGTTTTCAGCGTTACTTGTCAACAGGTCTGTGTTTCTTATAGAATCTCCCCTCTGATCCCATCACTGGTCTGACATTCATCCTCGTTAGATCAGAGCTGAACAGGAGGGAAGGAACGATGACCTTTGGTACAATTTAATGATAATTATTCACATTTAAAAAAGGACCAGGTATTATGTTTCATTTTGCAGTTTCTCACAAACCTTTTAACCGCGAGGTCACGCTTGTCCTTTCATCATTACACATTGAGTTAGCGTACGTACCAGCGTCCACGTGTCCAGGTGTGATAACACACCTGTGTCCCAAGTTAGTCCGACACAGACGTCTTTATATTGATGCAATCTGTGAAACACAACATGGTTTTATCACCAATTCAATGTGTTGTTTGGTTTTAACATCGGTGTATTTCATCCCAATATTAATATATTAACGTCACCCAATCATCTCATTGTCTGTTTGATCAGAATGATTCCTCTGATCTTCACTTCATCTCTTTATCTGAATGAATCAATGCCTCCCGTCTCATCCTGTGGTACTTTAACTAGAGTCCAACCAACATGTTCTAGCTGACGTCTGTTCACAGCAGATATTATGTATCGGCATATCTATCATTGGCAGAGATTTGTTTTGTTATTTTTATAAATGTTTTGCATGCTTTACATTTTTGATATTTACAATAATTAAATTTCCAGTTTTCTAAATGTACTCAAATTTATTGCTTAACTGGAAAAATGTTCAAGAGATGATCAACAAAAACACGTTTATTTAAATAAAGTTTGCAATCATTGTTTCATTTAACATATTCCCTTAAATGCGTGCTATGAATATGGTCTTCATGGTTCCAGTATTGGTTGGACTCTAGTTGTCTCCTCATGTCCAGGTTTAATTGGTGAATGACATTAACCATGTGATCATCCATGTTGTCTCTCTGTCTCATCATGTCCCATCGTTTGGTGGTGCCTGCGGTCCTGGTGTGTTCTTGTTTTTCTCCTCCTCCTCCCCTCCCTGCATGCCCCTCCCCCTCTTCTCCCTAATAACCTACTGGTGTGTGTGTTTGTGTTGTTTGATCTCTCCTGCCTCTTCCCTGGGGGGAAATCAAAGCGCAATCCGTTAGAGTTCAACCAGTCGGGGCTGAGGAAGACCTCGGTCAGTAAGGCCATCAAGGTAACGACACGGTGACGAAGCACTCCCATATCGCTCCGACACCGAGGAGGGAAGCACAGCAACACAACGCACACAGGCTTATCTACTCACACATTCAACTGGTGTTTACACTGTCTGGCCAAAAGTATCCAGATCTCCGCCAGGTGTGTGATTGAATGAATACGACCCACAATTGGCTAAACCCTGGTCTAGAGACCAATGGGCTCCAAGGTGACGTAAAACACACTTCATTCAAACTCAAAAACAAGCGGCGATGTCTGCAGGCAATCGACAGGTAGTCTTCGTATAAGACACGTCCGACAATCTTGCCAAAACCAAAGTGAAACTCATCCAAGATGTCTGCCCACGTAGCAGCGGCTGAGTAGCAGCGATGTACTCGCTGTCACTGGAACTGTTACTGGAAGTGAACTTACTTTACTGACTTTTATTGTGAAATCATTAACAAACTCCACTAATCATGTTTGTTTACTAAAACTATGTCTAACAATGTGTGTTGTAAATAACAACATTGTTGTCATAATCACATTTACACTTTCTTGATTCAGATACTTTTAACTGATCTTTTATTTTGAAGTCATCCGGTAGGTATTCCAGACTTCCTGTTTTGGGGCCAGAGAGACGTTTCCCTGATGTACTTTCCCTCTTAACTCCTCCCCCCGTTATAAGTTACACATTTCACCATCAACTGCTGAAATGTGACACGTATCTTCTGGGTAGTTTGGTATCATGCTAAAGATGTGATATCACACGCCCAAAAATGACATCATATGAGCTCAAAATGCACATTTTGAATGCTCAAAACATACAGCATAGGTGTGTTACCTGTTATAGTCAACATTTTAGATGTGTGTTTGTGGTTAATGGAATGTTGAGTTATATTTTATGTAAAAAGAGATGCTATAAGAGCTAAATCTTGACCAAATCAAGACTCCATCATTGCATCTTTTTCAAAGGAATTTATTGCTAACTGTACTCTAAAGAAACAGTCGTCGGCCTTATTAGCCATTTTAAAACCTGTTTTTCTTCTTCTGCAGTCTGGTAAAAAGGTGACCAGCGATCCCAGTCCACTTGTCCAGTTCACAGTGGGACACAAGTCCTTTGAGAGCAAGGTGAGACCAAAACAAGATCCACGTTCATACCCACCATTCATTTATTCAGTGAAACCTCGTTTTGTGTTTCAAAATGAGGCTGCAAACCCTTTAAAAACATAGTATTTAACACCAATCGACCGAACTAGCTGACTAACTGGTTAGTAACTTGAGTCTCTGACTCTAACTCCTCTCTGTTGTGTCCTCCATCAGACCAGATATAAGACCAATGAACCGGTGTGGGAGGAAGCCTTCACCTTCCTCATCCACAACCCCAAAACCCAAGAGTTGCAGGTTGAGGTACGTCTTTTACGTCTTTCGTCGGTTGAACGCTTCATTGCTGCTGAAGTGTGTCATGTTTGTAAGCAGTTAACCGTGGTGGTGAGGGACGTTGACCCCTTATGTCTCTTACGTGTGTCTCAGGTTAAGGACGAGAAACACGAGTGTTCGTTGGGGACGTTGACGCTTCCTCTGAGCCGCCTGCTGGAGGCGGAGGACATGACGCTGAACCAGCGCTTCCCCCTGAGGAACTCCGGACCGAACTGCACCCTCAAGATGAAGATGGCTCTGCGGGTAGGAGGAAAACCTGCAGATGACGTTCCCTCCAAAAAGAAAGATTTCAGGACTTTCTTTCCTCATTCTCTGCGTGTGTTTTCTTTCAGGTTCTGTGCTTGGACAAGAACCCTTCCTCGTCCTCAAACTCCACCCCGTCCTCCGTGCAGGTCAACAAGAACAGCTCTGCCAGCCAAACCCCGCGGCCCTCCGTGTCCTCGGACACCTCAGCGCCTCCCGCCTCCACCATCCCCCACTCGTCCTCCGTGTCGGCCCAGGACCTGCTGAACCGGCGCAAGGAGGCCGATGAGCCCTTCAGGTCTCCGGGAAGCACGGACTTGGGGCAGGGAGGAGCAAGAGGAGGAGGAGGAGGAGGAGGAGGAAGGGGCCTGGCGGACACCGGGAGGAGCACCTCCAACCTGGCCATCTCTGGCTCCCAGCAGTACCTGGCCGGAGGCAAGGAACCGACGCCAAGCATCGCCTCGGACATCTCCAACCCGTACGCTGCTCAGGAGCTGCAGCAGAGACTCCAGCTGCTGCAAAAGTAAATATCAACCAATCGTATATCCGTCTGTCTGTCCATTTAATCATAAGTAAACATAAAAAACCTCACTGAAACAGGAGCAAACAGTGCAATTGTTGGGGACTATTTTCAGCGGCGGATTAATCCACGTTTGTCGCTCTCGTGAGTATTTGTGGCAGCAGGACTGTGGATGTGGGAACGAGTCAAAAGAAACTACATGTGTGTGTGTGTGTTCATGGCGATAGAGAGCTGCAGCAATGAGTCCTAAAACCAGGGAATGAGTCAGCATTTTTGCACTTCCTGTTCCCTTGTATGGAAGTCAACGGGTTTTTCTTGAATGCGTTTTTGGTTCGATGTCGGTGTTTACCACAAGCTAGTTCCTTTATAGCAACGTGTAAGTATCATAAACGTTTGTCAACCATAGATCTTATGTTCTGCAATAATCCAATGTTAAAATCCTAGGGAACTAGCGTAATGCTAACTTCCTGTTCGGACTGTTTGATGGAGCTCTACGGCTCAGAATCAACTACTAGGCTTGAACAGGAGATGCTGGTTTCACAGCGTTGACCTCTTCCTCCTCCTCCTCCTCTTCCTCCTCCTCCTCTCTCCATCTTTTTCTCCGTAGTGGTTCAGGCCCCAGTCACTTCCCGCTGGGTGAGATCCAGCTGACGGTCCGACACAGCTCCCAGAGGAACAAACTCATCGTGGTGGTCCACGGCTGCAGGTACGGGACCAATCAGAGCGAGGAGAATGAAAAAGAACACCCCCCCCACCCCGACTCTCTTGTGATACATTCATTTCTATTTAACCTCCACAGAAACCTGATCACGTTCTCAGACCACGGCTCGGATCCGTACGTCCGCCTCTACCTGCTTCCTGACAAGCGGCGGTCGGGCCGGAGGAAAACTCACACCTTCAAGAAAACCCTCAACCCAGTTTACGATCAGACGTGAGTCCCACCGAACCTCACCAGTAACGGTCACGGGGTTTGTTTCTTCGTCGCTGATTATTGAGCAGAACGGTTTGTTTGTCTTCAGGTTTGAGTTCAGCGTTTCCCTCGTGGAGCTCCACAGGAGGACTCTGGACGTGGCGGTGAAGAACGGTGGAGGTCTGCTCTCCAAACACAAGGGCCTGCTGGGAAAGGTACGGACCTTCATTCATCAACGCTGACGAAACCGTCTTTAAATGGATGACTTTTGATGATTTAGAAACTTAGGAATATTCCTTTCGTCTGGACATGAAAAGATATTTTCATTTAATATTTCAAACGTGTTGAGTCTTTATTTCTACCAGTGAAGAAAACTCTTCTCTCATCAGGTTCTGGTGGATTTGACCCACGATGAGAGCAGTAAGGGTTGGACACAATGGTAAGTCTCTGATCTAAGTGCGTTTCTTATTTATTTATTACTAGTTAGGAGGAGTGACTTTGATTAGAATAAAAAAAACACTGATTTCATGACGCTGAAAACCGTCTTTCTCCTCCTGCAGGTATGAGCTGAGTGAAGATGGCCAGATGAAGCCTCTCCAACTATAGACAGGAACCATATCATCATCATCACCATCATCACTACCATCATATCTCTTCCACTTAAGTGTGTGTGTGTGTACAAAAGGAAACAGAAAAGCAGCTTTGATATTCATCTAATCACATCAGTCGCAAGGCCAACCTCCCCTTTAAGAAGTGAAAGGCTGATAGACTAAAGGGAGTGTAGAACACTATATATTACGTACTGTACTGCTGTGGAAGTCTATATTCCATATCTATAGGAGAAACTATAACGGCTGTAGAGGAAGACAATCTATTTTTTCTTTTCTTTTTTGCAGTTTCAGTAAAGAACGACGATGTACAAGTTTGTAAATATGACCAGTGATGCTGGACAAAAGGAAGATAAGAGAGAGGTGCAGTCTCTTATTTGGCCAAATGATTGTTTGTCATTTTATGATGTTTGATTTGTTAATTCTTCTTTTTTTTTTAAATGAGCAACATTCTGAAGCAGAGCAGGCCGGCGGTCGCACCAAAGAGACGAAGTATTTTCATTTCTTCGCCCCTCAGCTTCACTCTGGTTTTATTCCACTGTAATAACATGTGTGACACACCTGTCGTTCCACTCAACAGGAGGCCGTTGTTAAGTGTAACCTGTTTGCTTTTTAAGCTGAATATTTGCACATCTGTGTTTTTAATCTGGTGGGGATCATCTTTACGCTTAGTTGCAATTTAAACATTGCCTCAATTTGTTGTTAAAATCTTCTTTTAACATAATTCATCGTATCAAACTGTATTTAATATTATCAACCATGTTTTTTATTCATTTATCTAAAGCCACTATGCATCTTCTATACGTCTATATATGATGGTCCTCTCTAGCGCCCTCCAGTGGTGAGATGACGAAAAGACCCCGTGACAACCATAATAATAATGATGATAATGTATATCTCCACGTAACAGTTGAGTCATACGCACCGCTCTGATGCTATCAATCAACATTAAGCTACTGCTACTTAACACTTCCTGCCGATTCTTTCACATTAAAAGACTTTCAGCTTTTCCCTTTTAATGGTTATTCTTTTAATGTGAAGAAAAACAGGAAGGACCCGTGAGTGAGGACAGTATTAGTGATTTTAAAAAAAAAGGAACAAGTGCTGGAAATGATTATTTTACTGTATTTTGGGCAGAATTCAGGGTTTACACACCTGCAGAATCACAGATTAACTATCTGAAAGGTTGCACCAGTTTTCACGTTGGTTTCTACAAACAAACGCCTAATTTAATTATTAACAGAATTGGCTTTAATCACAATTTGCACAAAAAGTGGCTTTACATTTTGTAATTTAACATTTCCAAAATAAATTGCACGTTTTATTCTGAAGGGCTTTTTGTTTGTTTGATATCACGATAATTTCCATCACAATCATGTAGAGTTGTTAAAATGTTGTCCATGAATCGACTAACAGTCTTAACTTGTCATGAAGTGTCGCTTTCAACACATCGCAGTTTGTTCTTGTGGTGAAAATGCAAATGCAACACTGCTTTGACTTTGCAGCACCTGCTCTGAAGGGATTCATATCGGTAACAAATGCATCTTTATTGGTGTCAAACACGTTCATTAAATGCTTATGACATGTTTATTAAATGTCTGAGCGAAAGAGCAGCCGTCTTGTGTTGCTGCAGAGGAGGCCAGACGTTTTGCCTTGTTGTGTTTCACATCGAGGAAGTATTTCACACACATGTATGTAAACTGTTCTGTTTCTAATTGTGTTTCGAGTTTTATTTTGTAAGAATCAAACGGTTCGATTTTATTAGATTTGAGAGCTTGTGTCTCTGCGGTGGACGCTGTCCTCATGAAAGGCGGTTTGTTTTTTTGTTTTTTTCCCCCTCAGTCTTCTTAATTTATCTTGTGCCTTAAGATTCACACGATCCCAGAGATGTTCACGTGTATCAGGAGAAACCGTACAGATGCGCGTCCTCAGTCCCCCCAATGTCTCAGAATGTCTCCTAAATGTCTTTTGAAACAAATAAAGAGCTTTATAGCAGCATGAAGCTGTACAGCACCGTGACTTCTGACCCTTCTTTTTCTGTTTAATCACCTGGCACTGCCGTGGCAGCGACCTGTCAATCACCGTGTAGCCCTGCCCTAAAGCATCCCCTGCTTTATGGTCTGTTTGACTCTAAATGGACCATAATGGACTAAATGAACATCATGCTGTATTGAAGAAGACTTGAAACTAGAGATTGAGACCATAAACTCATGTTTACAATGTTTACTGAGGTAATAAATCAAGAGAGAAGTAGAGTCATTTTCTCATAGACTTCTATACAACCAGAGGAGTCGCCCCCTGGTGGACACTAGAGAGAATGCAGCTTTAACACATGAAGCTTAGTAATACGTGTTTGATACCTTAATTCTTTTGCATTAAATCATTCTGGGATGTTTGCTGAAATTGATTGGATGTGGCACAACCCTACCTAGAACATGTTCCACTAATGCTTCCATCAATGCTGAGTCCACAGATACACATGTAAATGCCGTTAGTGGGCATTTCAGTCCAAACTGTATCAGCCTCTTTTCATCATCACTCCTTCACCTGCCTTCAACTCTGAGCCGACATCTTTTTCCCACAGCACCTGAATGCAGCGTTGAATCAGGAGAGGAGAGCTCCGTGAATCCGTCAAGTCGGACTGAAATAGAATACATTACGGATATTGAGTGAGTTGGCCTTCAGAGTAAAGGTTTATAAGGATGGTTGGGTGTACAGATGAAAAATGTTTGCACATGCATGTTTATTAATTGGTAAAGTTCATCATAAACAGAGATCCAGTGAACTTGGACTCGGGGGGGAGAATGTAAAATCTTAATTTAAACAACAAAAATGGTTATTTTTTGTGTATTACTACAGAATACTTAAATGCTGAATCACAATCATTTAATTAAATATAAACACAAATCTTGAGTATTTCATTGAAGTTAAATGTGTTTTTTTATATTAACACATGAAAAGAACATTTTGTTGAAAAACAAACGACAAAATAACAAGGTCAGCATAAAACAGTTAAAAACATGAATGTATGACTGATTTATGTTTTGTCTTAATTTGGTTGGCTTATGTTGTTTTTTAGATTTACATTTAAAGCACTTTGTCATTGTTGCTGTAGGTGTGTTTTATATAAGTTAATTTTCTTTGCTCCTTGACTCAACATGATTTTTATTTATTTATTTATTTTTTTTTATACACTTCCGCTTTTGCATCTCATTTCTCCATAAAATGTGCAGATCACTGCGTTCGTAAAATCGTTTTATTTTGAAAACCGGAAATCGCGTCTAATGTACGCACGTGCCTTTGAGGCCAGTTTGCTGCGTGTGAGCGCTCGATCCTCCAGCAGCAGAAAACGCCCTGCACCCTCTCCAGTCTCCTCTCCTCCAACATCCTCCATCCGCCGTCCGCGCGTCTCCCTCTGCTCCTCCAGCCGCGTAGGAGGCTCTCTGAGCGGGAAGGAAGACGAACCAAACCTCCCCGGAAAAAAAATGGCCTTTTAACACTTGAGAGAATAACCCATAAGAGACATGCATCCTATGGCTTTTTCCTTCCTCCGCCATCTCCTCCTCCTCCTCCTCGCTTCCCTGAGCTGCTTCCCCGCTTCTGCTGACAGGAGAATCGGTGAGTGAATTAACGGATGATTATTTTCTTAATTAGCTGCATCCGAACCGTCTCCGGTCCTGCAGCCATTTTTTGCAGGCCGACCGGAGGAGACTGTTGTCAGGCTGGTTTCTCTGCAGGTTCACCTAAAAACCCAGCACGGTGCTCCTGATGCACGTTTCAGCGGAATAAACCAGAGTCACATGAGAACATCATGGGATTAACACAAGAGCAGCACCCAGCCGGTAATACGGGAAGATTATCCGTTATTTTATTATTCTGTTAATCGGGACTATTTGTAAGAGTAATTAAAAAAAACATTAGAAATAAAAATACAAAGAAATTTAAATAACTTTATAAATGAAATACAGAACATTCAAATACAATAATCATGAATTATCAATTCAAATAAAAAATACTAAATAAAAAATGTAAGTTAAAATTGTGATGGAAGAAAACTTAAAATAAAGATTTAGATTTATACAAATAATTTAAAAAAAAAGACGAATTATTTGAAGTTATTCAGAATATAAAATAGATTAAAAATGTATAAGATACAATATAATTACAAGTTCTCAGAATACAACTTAGAAACTACACTGAACTAAAAGTAATTACAATAAAGATGAAAGTAAATTAATGTAATAATAAAAGTTAAAACTTTATGTAAAAAGAAAAAACCAATGCCATTAATGAAATACAGAGAAAATAAGATATACGTATATACAAATACACAAATGAAATGTACAAAATAAAATGTCTAAATAACATCTTTACGTAAAAATATTTAATCAACATATAAATACTAATTATTGGGAAATAATTCATGAAAGCAATAGTAAATAACATGAATCAAACATACAAAATAATATATATAAATAATATACTAACAGAACAACAGTACCAAATAAAATAGTCAGTGTTATGTTTGTAAACAAGAACAAACAACATCCATCAGTGAAATCATGAGCTCATACATACTCTCCAATATCCAGCCCTGTGCTCCTGACAGAGGCAGCTATTGATTGGAAATATAAAGGGGTGTGTGTGGGGGGGGGGGACTGGAGACATACATTTCTATAAATAGCTGATATGTAATATTCCCCCACTGATGTGAGATGTGCAGCCTGCAAGATGACTGATGCAGAGATGATTGTAGAAGATGGTGAGAGGAGGAGGAGGAGGAGGAGGAAGCTGGTGATGAGAGGTGTGTGTGTGTGTGTGTGTGTGTGTGTGTGTGTGTGTGTGTGTGTGTGTGTGTGTGTGTCCAGACCCTCCTCCTCCTCGTTCTTCCTCCTTCAGATTACATAACCAGCATACAGAGAGTATGGCAGCCACAGGACACACTCCCGAGGAGACGAGCAGCAAAACAACAGGGAGCATCGAGCTGCAGCGCTCAGCCTCCATTTATTCTTTATTAATACTTCATACCCTATAATAGGTTTATTTACCTGTACTTTTATTGATTTAGATGGTTTAAATGACCTCACTCATCCTGCTCTTCGCCATCTCTTGGACTGGACCTGTATATACGGTGTGATGTAAACAGGAAGTAGCTGCGTAAAGCCGGAGCTCAATACCACAATATTTCCCTGCTTGTATCATAACACAAACATCAGACCAAATTGATTCCTTATCTTTCTTTTCGGAGCTGGTCCCCACCAAGTCACATTGTTTTGGTTTTATTGCCAACAGGAGAGAAAAATACAAAAACAGAATATGTTTTACGTTAATTTGAAGTAATATTTAAATCCCTTAAAAATATGAAATATATATTAAAGTATTTAATAATCATTTATTGAGCTTGCTTATTCTGGATTAAGCTTTTCGGCCACTGTGTTGCTTTCATGCTGTTCCGCTCATCGACGTTTGGTGGCGATAGTGAGTTAACAAGAGCAGCAACATGTCAGTAAAAGCAGAGAAGAAGACAAACATCCAGTTTGTTTGAGCACGTGGGAAGTTGAAACAAGTCGATATCATCACAGAGACAGTTGCCTTTTTACACATCCAGCTGCAGCAGCACGATGAGTCATACGGAGTCTTTGTGGTTGTGTCACCTGATGAACATAAGTCCAACATTCTGTCTCTGATTGCTCTGTTTTTGGTCTCCACCACCTCGTGAAATATCTCTCTAGCTGCTAAATGTTTCACTTTGTTCACCAGCTAGTTTCTAACTGTGTCTGTCTGCTGTTTTCTGCTGAGCAGTAAATATATATATATGTATATATATATATATGTGTACATATATATATATACAGTATATATACAGTATATATACACTGTATTGCCAAAGAAATCTGTTTTGCAAATGTGCATGTGTCGAGACCTCAGTGTTTCTCACAATGCATTAGAAACACTGACTGTAAACTTTATTTGTTTACAGGAAAACTCTTTAATACGATGTAACTTCTCCTGGTCGCCTTTAGTCACCTTTAGTCACCTTTAGTCGCCTTTA